CTGTAAGATCTGCAGATTAACAAGATCCCCAGGTGGTTCATGTGCATGTGGAAATCTGAAAGCAATGGTCCAACTCAGTGATTCTACAGTTGAACATTCACCAGGATCACCTGAGGGGGGTGACTTGTATACCCTACAGATTGGGGAGGGGGTGCACCTCTGGAGTTTCTCATTGAATAGATCTGAGATGGGCCTGAGAATTTGCAATTCTAACATGTTCCCAGGTGACATTGATGCCACTGGACTGGGGACTCATTCTGAAAGGCACTCATTTCATTCATTCTCCTCATTTACTGAGGACCCAGATACTCCTGAGTTCAGATTCCAGCTGTGTGACATCGGGCACTCTCCTGACCTCTCTGAGCACATTTCTTTCTATATCACATACAGATAATACCAGCCTTGCTGGATTTTGTGAGAATTCTAGGAGATTTTTAAAAGCCAAGTGCCTTACCCATGCCTGGCCACAGAATGTACTCTTCAAAGCATGGGCCACAGACCAGCAGCATCAGCATCCTCTGGCAGTGTGTGAGAAATGCTAATTCTTGGGCCCCACGCAAGCCCTGTGGTGTCAGAATCTGACTTTTCACAAGACCTCCAGATGAGAATGATGTGCATTAAAGGCTGAGAAGAGATCTACAAACCCACAGTCCTCATTTCCCAGTTCCAGCTCAGGATATTGATGCTTAGGAAATGGAGGTTTCTCACCCCAGAGCAGGAATTACAAGCTGGAGCCCCTAAATCCCTGCTCAGTGTGCCCACTTTCTGAAATTCCAGCCATGGCATGAGGACTGGAGTCCCCAGCACAGACCCAGACACTCACCACAATCCACCCACAGGTTTGCAGAGTATAGTGAGGCACCAAAGGCATTAGACGTGCATTCAGATGTGCTTGCCTCCTAACCCTCCTGACACCAAGGCGCAGATTCAGCCAGCGAGGAGGGAAAGTATTTCTAGACCTTGGGATTTGCTTATTTGACTTTTTGATAGCTTTTTTGATATTTACAAGCAGGCTCTACTTGAATCTTTGTGGGCAGGAGAGGAGTGAGAAAGAGAAGGGATGGAAGCAGAGGCCACACAGGATCTCAAGATTCTAACATAGAAAGAACGGAGACGCTCTGGGCTGCCAAGGAGAATGACTCGTTCACAGGGAGAGCTGGTTTCTGTCAGAACAAATGGCTCAGCTGAGTTCCCACCACAGAAGTCAGCCCCCTCAATGTTCCTATGTGTGATTCTTTGGGAACAAAATACTGTTTGAGAGGCATTACCATTGGTAGCTATTTTATTGTATAAACCAAATAAAAATGAATCTGTCCTGAACAGTCTAATGAACAAAAACGACACAGAAGTGACTTCAGCGGGGTGGAGTGGCAGCATGGCTTTTTGCATATTTATGAATAATGACAGCTGAAAAACAATCTGACAGGAAATAGAAATAACATGATTTATGTCATGATGAATAAAATTCTGGAACATTTTGGAAAATATCACCAGCACCCCCCCCAACCCCATGAAGTGGCCCTTAACTTTAAGGTGAATTTCGTCATTGAACTTTCTCTTTGGCATTTTTTGCACTGTGATAGATGGAGTTTGGTCTTATTTTGATAAACACCTTGGCCAGGATCACTTTCTTTCCTTGAGGCTAAAGAAGGCTGAACAAACATAAACAAGCCATCATCCCAAATACCCTAGCTACCAGATTTATAGTGGAAATCAATACAGTGATATTCACTTTATAGCTGGAAGAAGTTCAGGGATGGGAAGTAATTTATCCAAGGTCATAGCCAGTCCGAGCTGGGGCTAGGCTTAAAATTTAGGTCCCCTGTCTGTAGCCTCTTGATATATAAAACATAAACATAAAAATGATGAGTTCCAAGCAAAAGCTAGCTTTTAAACTTTTGAGTCTTGATGTTGATACTTAGCTATTTTTTCCTTCCCTATCCCTTAAGCACTGACATCTCCTGAATATAGCACCAGGGAATATAGTCCATGAAAACAGAGGCAACTCTGAGGAAAACAGGTTTCAGCTAGCCCTTAATCAAAAGCCCACTTCTGTAAATTTGGCCTCCAGTTTGAGACTGAGCAGAGCCCCTTTGGATTAACCCACTGTTCAATTCATTTAATGAATAAGAACTCTGAGAAATTTGCCTCCTACCTCCCCAGTTCCCAGATACACTTCAAAATTTAAAAATGTGGAAAAATCAGGCAGTGGTTGTCTCTAAAGGGGAGTGGGGCTGTGATTGTTTTTGCTGGGAAGGAACGGGTGAGAGGAAACTTTTTGGAATGAAGGTAAAGATTCATTTTCACAGAGGTCTGGGTTAGGTGGTGCCGTATGTACGCACTTGTCAAAACACATTGTACTTTAAGATTTGTGTCTTTCATTATATGTTAATATTCCCTAAAATAAAATCCTGCATAATAAAACAAACACACTAAGAAAATATTTGGGACAGTAATAAGGTTAACAGCTAAAAGTGCTAAAGTGGAATTTTTATCAACTCCTGTCATTATCTTCACCAACTATAAAATATAAAAGTTCTTTGACCATCTCTGTAAAGGGAAGTGGGTAGAAGTTCTCAGAAGCTAAAACCTGTGTCTAAAGTAGAGAGTGTATGTTTTGGGGCCATTGTCTTTCTGCCAGACACTGCCAGGAAACCAGATCTTTGCCCCTGGAGGGAGCAGGCTTCCTTTATCAGTCAATTCTTAGGTAAAAATAGTTGCTGGGGTAGGGACATGTGTGGAGGGAGCTGGGCTTAGACTTGAAGGAACTGTGCAGCGAATTCCCTGGAAGGGCCCCATGCAGAGTGTTGGGAACTTGGCGTCTAAGGTTCTCTGATGTTTTCCCCTCAGTGAATGTAGAGATAGGTCCAGAAACAAGGAGGGAGGAAGAGAGACTCTGCTCAAGCATAAGATCAAGCAGGCCAGTATGGTTTTGGAAAAAATTATAAAAGCATGTGGGTAAAGAAGAAATGTTATTAAATCAAATTGTTTGAGGCCAGGCATGGTGGCTCACGCCTGTAATACCAGCACTTTGGGAGGCTGAGGGAGGCAGATCACTGGAGGCCAGGAGTTCGGCCTGTAGTCCCAGCTACTCAGGAGGCTGAGGCAGGAGCATTGCTTGAATCCAGGAGGCAGAGGTTGCAGCTAGCTGAGATGGTGCTACTGCACTCCAGCCTGGGTGACAGAGTGAGATTCTGTCTCAAAAAAAAGGAAGGAAAGAAATCAAATTGTTTGAGAGTCTTCTTTACCTTTCTATTCCACTTTGATGAGATCGGGTGCATTCAGAGTGGTATGGCCATAGTCTGTTGCCACTTTGAATATCATTCTGTTCCCCAATTTACCAACATGATTCACTTCTTTTATTATATTTTCATGAAATAGTTCAAGCATAGAAAACATACAGAAGAACATAACAAAGAGTGAAACCACCTTTGCAGAAATTATAACTGAGCAAATTATGACAGTGAAAGAGATCAGACCTAACCAAATCCATCTTGCTTCTAACATTTAAGTTGTCCTTGTTCATTCCTGGGCATAGGCCGAACTGACTTTGGGAAGGAATTCAATTCATGGTTTGACTCTGGAACAAAACTGATTATAGCACTTTCCCGAAAAGACCCCCTTCTTGCCTAGGGACCAGTCTGCCTTTGCAGGACTAACAAATTAGCTACAAGATTAGAAAGTACAGTTTAAGGGTCAAGCAGCCTCTGGCTCCAAGAGTCTGAACCTCCACAAATTGCTCCTGGGGATAATATCACTATTATAAAACCTAAGATCAGTCTTGAAATATTCTGCAGACCCATGGATCAGCTGACACCACCCAGACCGGTAATCTGGCTCAACCAGTTCTGCCATCCCACCCAGGAACAGAAGACGGCAAGCAAACCACACTTTGACCCCGCCTTTGATTCTGTCTCCAACCTGAGCAATCAGCACTCCCCACTTCCCAAGCCCCTACCAGCCAAATATCTTTAAAAACTCCTATCCTGGAAAGCTCGGGGAGACTGATTTGAGTAATGATAAACCTGATCTCCTGCACAGCAGGCTCTGTGTGAATTACTCTTTCTCCATTGCAATCCCCTCCTCCCCCTACCCCCTCACCCCCCCACCCCCGTCTTGATAAATGGGCTCTGTCTAGGCAGTGGGCAAGGTGAAGGAACCTGCTGGGCAGTTATAAGAGCAGCGCATCCCTGATCCAGTCTTAACAGATCAACTTTTTTTCAAGATCGAAAATGTGTTTGAACTAGTTACTAGTAATTACAGACTGGTAATCAAACAGTTCAGATGAATCAGAGTTGTCCTCTATTAACATTTATGCTTTTGACATTTTTCCCTCACCTATATGTTGTGCATACTTGGAAACAGGCATTCAGACATGGTAATTGGATACTATGCCTGTGCTCGTAAACAGGTGCATATGTGTGACTCTGTCCTCAGCTTTTTTGCTTTATAATTTATAGAGTCACATTTTTTTTTTTTTCTTGAGAGGGGTATTACTAAAATAAGTGAGGACCAGGCGTGGTGGCACATGCCTGTAATCCCAACACTTTGGGAGGCCAAGTGGGGTGGAACGCTTGAGCCCAGGAGGTCAAGCAGCCTGGGCAACATGGTGTAAACCCTGTCTCTACAAAAAAACACAAAAATTAGCCAGGCATGGTGGTGTGGTGCCTGTAGTCCCAGCTACTCGGGAGGCTGAGGTGGGAGGATGGCTTGAGCCTGGGAGGCGGAGACTGCAGTGAGCCAAGTTTGTGCCACTGCACTCCAGCCTGGGTGACAGAGCCAGACCTTGTCTCGAAAATAAAATAAAGTAAGTGAAGTACATTTGCTTTCTCACCTCTACAGACTCTACAGTTTGGTTACCTTATATTTGTATTCTAATTACCATCAGCAATTTCAAAAATGTTAAAATGGAAATCTTTATATTGAAAGTCAGCAGTTCTCAAACATTTCCGCCTCAGGAATCATTTATGGTCTTAAGAATCATGGAGGATGGCAAAGAGTTTGTGTTTATGCGGATTATATCAATTGGTGCTCATTGTATTCAAAATTAAAACTGAGAAAAAAATTAAATATTAATTCTTTAAAAATCACAATAATTAACCTAGTATGTGTCAAAACAAAAACATATTTTATGAAAATAACTTTTCCAGATTAAAAAATAAATTTACTGAGAAGAATGGCGTTGTCTTACATTTTGCCATCTCTTCAGTGCCTGCCTAAATAGAAGCAGTTGGATTCTCATATTTGCTTCTGTAGGGGCCAAAGGAAAACTTCCACTTCACCTTCTGATTTTCACTGAAAATCAACTGGCAAAAGGTAGCTTAATAGGAGAAAAGGCATACAAATTTATCAATGTGCACATGGGAATCATACAAAATATGAAAACTTAAAGAAAGGGCCAGATAGTTGATGCTTTTACACCATCTTGAGGTTACAGAAAAGAGGCCTGGAGTGCAGCAAGAGTGGTTATGGCGGGGGAGAGAAAAAGAGAGGCTTGGCTAGCAATGGCAGATGAAACCCCACAGGTAGCAGTTCTCAGAAAAAACACGTTTCTCTCAAGCCCCCAAAGCTGTCAGTCTCTCTAGCCAATCCTTCCTAGATCTGGACAAGGGGCATGGAGGCAGAGCAAGCCTGGCTGTGTATTTCACCAATGCAGATTTTTCTCTATAGATGCAAATCTCCCCCACAAAAAGCAGCATTTTAGCTGTTTGTGTGTTTCCAGCCCCTCTGAATAACCATCTTGAAAGATATCAAAGAAACGTATTTTGGGGCCAGGCGCAATAGCTCATGCCTGTAATCCCAGCATTTTGGGAAGCCAAGGCTGGTGGATCAACAAAGGTTAAGAGTTCGAGATCAGCCTGACCAACATGATGAAACCGAATCTCTACTAAAAATGCAAAAATTAGCTGGGGGTGGTAGCGTGTGCCTGTAGTCCCAGCTACTTGGGAAGGTGAGGCCTGAGAATTGCTTGAACCTGGGAGGTGAAGGTTGCAGTGAGCCAAGATGGTGCCACTGCACTCCAGCCTGGGCGACAGAGTGAGACACTGTTTCAGAAAAAAAAAGAAAAAGAAAAAGAAAAATATTTGGGGTGAAATTTTTTTTGTTTTCTTTACTTCTGTTTTCAATATATTGTGAAACATTATTTTGGTTGAGAAATATGGAGAAAATCTAGCCTCAAACAGATACTTATTTAGAAATGAGGACAGTATCTTGATAGCCTTTTTAGATAGCTGTGATACTCATCTTTGGTACTATGCCAAATCGCAAGTGATGGTTTCCTAAAGAAAAGATGCATTGTGACATTTGAAAGCATACTGCTGTGCTTTTCATAATCTGTTACATTAAAACCCATTGGCATACCTTGCATTTTGAGCGTATGCTTTACCCATGCACAATCGTAACATCATGTTGGTCGTTAGGAATATATTGGTTTGTTGAGCTATGCAGGTTTTCCTCATACAGTATTTTAACATCACACTCATTAACACCATGGATCTCATCAGAGAAGTCTTTAAGTGTTAAAAAGTTGTCAATCTTTTGGGGGTAGATTCAAGTTTTCTTCAATTTTAATTGTCACTTGAAAACTCAAATTGTATTATTTGCACCAAATACTGTCAATCGTTTTCCTTAAAGTGACAGACTTGTATCATTCATTTTGAGAAAATGTCTGCCTAACCCCCAAGTCTGAATAATCATTAGTTGTCAGTTGCCCTTTCAAGTTAAAATAGTGTTAACATGAAAACAACAGCTAGTTTAGTTGGCAACTCAAACAGTGGCACCTCACCTCTACCAGTCACTGAGTGCTTGTCCTTGAGACAATATAGGAGTTTGGTATGCAACTGAAATGATTTAGATGTACTTCTTGTTCTGTCACACAGAATTTAAAAATGTGTGCGCTGAAATTTAGTAAGAGTAATAACTTTAGGTGGCACTTGTTTTTTCCGTCAAGTGTATAATGTGAAGAACGTAATCACCACTTGTAGTTTGCTGCCACCACCTTGACTCATGCTTAGGTGCTAGCAGTTTTGCTCCCCATTGCTTTGCAACATTATTGCAACTCTCAACCGAGTGAAAAAGACAAATACCATCTTCAAGATACTATGAGAATAGTTTCAACTTCATGAAACACCTGAAAAGGTCTCACAGACCCCTAGGTGTCTGAGGACCACTCTTCGAGGTCTACTGATATAAATCAAAGATAGTTTTTCTTCTTTAGGTAAGTTTAGTATCATATTTCTACCACGTTTAGCATTATAGATGAATTTAGCATTCTTTCTTTCTGACATCACATGTATATATACACTGTAAAGCGCTAGCAATACAAAAAATAAAATAAAATAAAGCCCTTGCCCTCATGGAATTTCCATTCCACTGAGTGAGATCAACTATAATCCAGTAATCAGATAACTGTAAATGTATAATTATGATAAGTGCTATGAGTATCTTGGTAGAAGCAATTAATCTGTGGGCAGAAGGGTAAGATACAATGCTTCTGAGGACACCTTAAAACATCCAGGATGGTTGGGTGTTCGCAGGTGAAAGAGGTGGTGGCAGAGAGTGCTCCAAGTAGACGGACCAGACTGTACAGAGATCCTGAGGTCAGAGGGAGCGTGGCATGTTCAAGAATGGGAAACACCTCTGAAAGGGGGAGAGGATGGTAGGCAATAATTCCAGAGTGGATAGTATAGACCAGATTACACAGTTGTCTCTGCTAACACTGTGGCTTTTATGCAGAGGTGCCATGAAAGCATTTCTACAAGGGGTGGCTTAATAGATTAGCAGTATGAAAGGATCACCTTGGCAGCAGTGTTGAGAATCAGCAAATGATGTTGCGGGGGGAGGTGGGCAGATGAATACAGGGGACCACTTACGAGGAGGCTGTGGTAGTAATTGAGAACAGAGAGCAAAGACAGTGGAAGAATCAGGTTAGGGAACTGCCATGGTCAGGAAGTGATATGGGCTCAGTGGAAGGGTGGGCATGGGTAGGAAAGAAAATGGCTTCACAGATAATACTGTGGTTCCTTGTTTGCCCAGTTAGATATGTGGTGGTGCCCTGGGGTAGCCATTTCTCAGTAAACTCGGACTATCTGGCAACAAGACTAAAAAGGAAAGCAGAAGAGGGGAGAAGGGAAGGGAAGGGAGGGGAAGGGAGGGAAAAGGAGGAGAAGGGAAGGAAGGAGAGGGAAGGTTAAGGGAGGGGAGGGGAGAAAAAAACCCATTAACATCCAAAGCCAGGGATTGAGAATAGTATCCAATTATTAGGAAAGGAATTTGAATTTATTAAATTAGTTTTATTAGTTATATCCTAAAAAGATTTTTCAAGGAATTACTTAGACTTTCCTAAGAACATTAATTTCAGTTTGGTTTTTTTTTTTTAAACATATCTATTCTTAGCAGTGTAAGAGTTTGTTCTGGTGTTCGACCTCCCCTACAGAAGATGAGTTGTTCAGGACACATTCAATAAAGGACAAGGCTTTCAAACATCCAAAAGATGAGCTGATGCCCCCTCCCCAGGGCAGTCTGCACATCCTGAGCAGCCCCCTTGTGCCAGGCTCTCTTAGATGTATCACAGGTATAATTACATTGAAAGTTTATGATAGCACAGTGTGGTACGTATTGTCATTGCTACCATTTCACAAATGAGGAGCTCAGAAATGTTGATGTTCGCTGGTGATTACACCACTCCCAAGCATTAACACCAGGATTGCAACCCTTTTCTTGCTTAAAACAGCTGAATGGTATTTCTAAGACAGAGGTTTCCAGGTTCAGAGGGACTCATGGAACTCTTTGAGATCCTACTAAAAACGACAACCTTCTCCTCAGTAAAGTTCACATTTGCACATGCGCAAAATTGACACCCAATTTCTACAGGCTTTATGTTCTCTTGAAACTAATCCAGAGATTGTCCAAGAGCATTTGAAACTCAAGGTTAAGGAAGGCCTACTCTAGGGCTTTTTAGAAGCTGTCGCTGGTGTTTTGTTAAAGTCTGTTCAATGTAAATTTTTAAATCATCATAGAATAAAAGCCAATCACTCTAGATTTATAGATTACAAATTGGTTACTCTCCATAGAATTAGCATATAACCCAGCAATTCCACTTCTAGATATATACACAAAAGAATTAAAAGTAGGTATTCAACAAAAACTTGTACATGCATGTTCATAGCAGTAGTATTCGTAATAGTCAAAAGGTGGAAACAACCCAAATGTCCATTAACTGATGAATGAATAAACATGTATGGTATACCCATACAATGGAATTTTATTTGGCAATATAAATAAATGAAGTCCTGAGCTATGGTACAACATGGATGAACATTCAAAACATGCTGAGTAAAATAAGCAAGAAACAAAAGGCATATATTGTATGATTCCATTTATATGAAATGTCCAGAATAAGCAAATCTACAGAGAGACAGAAGGTAGACTAGTAGTTGCCTGCGACTAGGAGAGGAAGGAAAGTGTAGTGGCCGCTTAATATATAGGGATTTCCTAGGCCAGGCGCAGTGGCTCACGCCTGTAATCCCAGCACTCTGGGAGGCTGAGGCAGGCAGATCACTTGAGGTCAGGAGTTGGAGACCAGTCTGGCCAACATGGTGAAACCCCACATCTGCTAAAAATTAAAAAAAATCAGCCAGGTGTGGTGGCATACTCCTGTAATCTCAGCTACTAGGAAGGCTGAAACAGGAGAATTGCTTGAATCCAAGAGGCGGAGGTTGCAGTGAATCAAGATTGTGTCACTACACTCCAGCCTGGGCAATAGAGTGAGACTTCATCTCAAAAAAAAATATGGGTTTCTTTTGGGGTGATGAAAATGCTTGGGAATTTGATAGAGGTGACAGTTTCACTAAAAGCCATGAATTGTGCACTTTAAAGTGGCCAAAATGGTGAAATTTATATTATGTTAATTTATCTTAAGTTTTTTAAAAACAAGGTTATATACAAGAAACAAATGCCTGCCTAGCAAGCCTTCTTTGTCCTTCATTCCTTCCTTTGCCTGGGCTGGGCTACTTCGAGAAGATTCTGTTTATTTACTCTGTCCCAGGCATGATTTCCCTGGTGGGCCGGTTTGCATCTATGAGGTGAATCCTGGCAGCCTTCTCCAGGGGTGCCCATTGCAACCTAGGGGCCCGGCAAAGTGCATGGCCATCCCTATGCAAAAGCCAGGTTCTATGTGCTTGTACTACTGCCTGCATCTGCAGCATCTTGTTTGCATTAAAAAGGCAGCAATATGTGGGCTTTCAAAGCCTTTAAGCCTGAAGCATCATTCTTTTTTTTTGGCCTCTTCCCTAGATACTTTTGGTCAGCAATTTCTGCCCTGTCAAGACAGCAGTGGTTCTCAAAGGGGTGTGGGTATAGGGGTGTGTTGTGCTCCCCAGGGGACATTCCGCAAAATCTGAAGACAGTTGGGTTGTCAGGACTTGGGATGTACTACTGGCATCTAATGGGGAGAGGCCAGGGATGCTGCTAAACACCCTGCAATGCATAGTGAAACCACCTTTGCAAAAATTATAACTGAGTAAACTATGACATTGAAAGAGATTTGACCTAACTGACTCCATCTTGCTTTTAACTTTCAAGCTGTTCTTGTTCATTCCTGAGCACAGGCCAAACTAACTTTGGGAGGAACTTGTTTATAGCTTAACTTTGAAACAAAGATGGTAACAGTCTTTTTCCAAAACAACCTCCTCCTTCCTGCCTGAGGACTAGACTGCCTTAGCAGGAGTAACAAATTAGCCACAGGATTAAAAATTATGGTTTTTAGAGTCACTGTTGGAAAACCTGCGATTAGTGCTTGAGATATTTTACAGACCCTGCTTTGCAATGCACCAGCTGACGCCATCAAGATTGATAAACTGGCTCATCTGGCCTTGTGGTCCCTACCCAGGAACCGACTCAGCGCCAAGAGGACAGCTTCAACTCCCTATGATTTCATATCTGACCCCATCAATCAACACTCCCCACTTTCTGACCCCCTACCCACCAAATTATCCTTAAAAACCCCGATCCTTGAATTTTCGAAGGACTGATTTAACTAATAATAAAACTCCAGTTTCCCGTGCCACTCTGGTCTCCCATGCAGCCAGCTCTGTGCAAATTAAACTCTTTGTCTGTTGCAATTTCCCTGCCTTGGTAACTTGGCTCTGTCTAGGCAGTGGGAAAGGAGAACTCGTTTGGTGGTTGCAGCAGGACACACCCCCAGACCCCCAACGAAGAATTGTCTGGCCCCAAATGTCAATAGTGCCAAGGTTGAGAAACCCAGGATTATAGTATCATTGATATTATATAACTAAAAATATCAATAACTATTTATTGTCGGCATTGCCATTGAGACAGGTCCCATTCTCTTGATCTCTATGAATTGTGATGCCACTGCCCTCTGAAATAGCCCTGAGGAGAGGGTTCTGGAATTCTATAGGGAAATCAAAGACTTCAGCCTTGTAACTTATTTGTCCCACAAAGATAATATCCCACATGGCTCCAGAGTGTATACACATCATGGAGCTATAAAATGAAAGTTAATCCCTGCCTGTCCAGCACAGTGGAATCCAGCATGCTGGTCTATATGGCAGAGAGAAGCAGATAATAAATTAGAACATTATTCACAACATAAGAATAACATGATCTATACAGGAAAGAAAGAAAACACATTATTCTTTCCATTTTTCTCTGTAATAAAATACAGAAAAACAGACTAATAATTATTAACTATTTTATCATTAAGTTAATAATTTTATCATCAGTGCATTCTCTTCATATTAAGGTTTATTTACTGATTTTTATTAAACTGTTTTAAAAAGAGTAGTTCTTTTGTCTTGCAAGGGAAACACCGGCTGTATAGATGTTTCGTTTTCATAAATTTTATATATATATATATATATGGGGGGGAGAGAGAGAGAGAGAGAGAGAGAGAGTGTGTCTCTCTGTCCCCTAGGCTGGAGTGCAGTGGCATAATCTCCGCTCACTGCAACCTCTACCTCCTGGGTTCAAGCAATTCTTCTTCTTCAGCCTCCTGAATAGCTAGGACTACAGACACGTGCCATCATGCCCAGCTAATTTTTGTATTTTTAGCAGAGACGGGGTTTCACCATGTTGACCAGGCTGGTCTCAAACTCTTGACCTCAGGTGATCCACCCACCTTAGCCTCCCAAAATGCTGGGATTACAGGTGCACCTCACTCTTAAATAATATCCTAATAGTGGTAAAACAAATGCTTTTAAAACAGGCACGGTCTTGAGCGAAAATCAGATCCTCCATTTGAAAAACCTTGTCACAGTCTTTCTTTAAGACAGCAAACACATGCTGCATAAATCAGCAACAGATTCTTAAATCTTATCCTTATTATCCTGCACAGAGAGTACATGTTCAAAACAGCCTTAATTATACTTACTTACATTGCCTTAGAAAATACTGTAGGGAAAACCTAAAGTAATCATCCAAGCAGTTTTGCTGCTGGAAATTTCACTCCTCAAAAAATTATGCTTGGTCTCTCCCTAGTTGCAGGAAAATGTCACAATTAGGAGATGTCATGTTGAACACATTCTCTGACGATCTGGTGATCACATTAGGAGGGATTCATTATAGTTCTTCTGCAATATGCTTACCAGATTCTTTTGGACTTACCCCTTCAGCATGACACTTTTCAGCAGTGGCCATCCAAAATAAATGGAAAAGTCATGTTTGAGGTCAGAGACACCTGCTTACCTGGATTCACTCACACTGACAATGTCAGGAAGTGAAATTCACATCTTTCTTCATCTAGGGGACTGGCCAAGCTTTCCTGATAATAGTATGCACTTCTGGGAGGCCATTGAGGCCAGGACTTCATATGTTCATGGCTGGAAAACTATTGCTATAATCGAAAGTAATGTGTTGGGAAGAAATTAACAAATACGGATGAGGGTGGGTGTGTTTCTCAGCAGGAAAACCGACTCTGTGTTGAAATCCTTGTGTGGAAACATCTGTTTCTAACCATTCTGAGCTAGGAAGAATGTGGACACCGAGCATGTGGTTCCCTTGGAAAATGTTTGCCTCAGTCTTGACCTAAGAGATAGCATCTGGACTGGGGAGGAAACAGAAGTGATCCTGGAATTACATTCTCTTAAAAACAAAACAATACTAAACAAAAACCACATCCTTATGCTTTTTTGAAGGGTTTCTTCACAACATAAAAATTATCCAAATTTCCTCTGTTTATTTTTTAATCCCTCACCCAACTGCCCCATGGTTAACATCTGACGTGACTTGAGCACCTTTGTCAAATTAAGAAACTGTCACTGGTGCATTACAATTAACTAAATCCCAGACTTTATTTGAATGTCACCAATTTTTCCTCTAATGCCATTTTTCTGTTCCAGGATCTTACCCAGGACACCACATTGCATTTAATTGCCATTTTTCTTTGTCTCCTTCTTAGCTTTTGATGACCCTCCTCTTCATTTTCACTGAGACAATAGCTTCACAACAGTTTCTTAAGCAGCTTCCCTAAACATACAGGAGCCAACTTTTCAATTATATCTATATCTTAAAAAAACAAAAACAAAAAAACCTGTGGAAAAATTAGAAAATTCAGCCAAAAGGCTCTCCTGGCTACCATTTTAATCTACATAAAACCAATCACAATCCATTTAACAAATTTATTTTCCATGATGCTATTGACTACTCTCCATAACTCAACATACAGCTGGGTCCATTTCATAGGTCAGAACGAGAGGTTATCAGGTAATATAAAGGACCACATTAGAAGAAGCAAACTCTTAGGAACTAGACTTCCAGACTGGGAAAGAACAGAAATTTGGACTAGACCACGCTTACGTGGCTGAGGGGATGGACATTCAGACAGCTGGATGACCATATCCAGAGAGTCAGGCTACAGACCATTTGGGAGACCCCAGGCATGTAGCATCAGAAAGTGGAACAGACAATAGGAGCCAGGGGGTGGGCTGGCAGTGGTAGGAGGGTAGATGAATGGGCAGGTGGGTATCTGAAAGAGCTAGGAGAAATGCAGGAGCCAGCAGGCAATGATGGGGAGGTTGCTAGAAAGGGCAGGAAGGACATCAGCTTGGGCCCACACTGCGAACAAATCAGACACAGGATCCTGGTGGACTTGTTACCTCACATACACAGTTCTAGCCTAGATTTCTCATGTTCTGAGTGGATTTGATGTTTTGGAATAAACTGGCAAAGAGTAGTGATCTCCAAACACTTTGCTGCTTAAATCCATGTGCATTTTAAAATTTCATGCCACGTTGTACCATTATACAGTGGTTGGCAGCTTCTAAAATGGCCCCCATGATTCCCGCCTCCTAGTGTTCACACCCTTGTGTAGTCCCCACTTTGAATGTAGGCTGGACCTAGTAACTTGACATTGATCAACAGAATGTGGCACAAGTGATGGGATATCACTTTCAAGATTAAGTTCTAAAGACTGTTATTTCAGCTGTGCTTTCTCTCTGGCTCTTCTCACTTGTTCTCTTGGATGAAGCAGGCTGTCATACGGGGAACTGCCCTACAGAAAGGCTCATGCAGCATGAAATAGAGGGTGGCTTCTGGCCAATAGCTAGCTAGGAATGGATGCCCTCAGTCCAACAGCCTTTGAGGAAGGGAATCCTGCCCACAACCACTTGTATGAACTTGGAAGTGTCTTCTCCTCCAGCTTGGCCTTGAGATGATTATAGCCCCTGCTCAACACCTTGATTCCAGCCTTGGTTCCGTACAGACCTGTAATAGACCTGAGCCAGAGGAGCCAGCTAAGCCACTCCCAGATTCCTGACACACACAAACTGTGAGGTAATAAATATTGTTATTATAAGTTGCTACATTTTAGGATGATTTGTTATGCAGTGATAGGTGACTGATATATACACTAAGGTAATTCCACTCTTAGGTCAGTGGTATAATATTATGTCATCAAATGCAGCAGTACAAAGCTGTGAGAGCAAAGTAGTTAAACTTGAACTCTAGCCCCTAATGGGTAGAGAGGTACCCTGAGGTAGGGGGACAGCAACCAACCATGACACACAGAAGTGAAGGCTACTGAGAAATGAAAGAGAATCAATCTATAGTATGGAAATAGGAAGTTCATTATTTCCAGCAAGAAAACAAAAAGACCCAAACTGTTTATAATCAGCCTGATGGGGTGGGCAGAAGTAAGCAGAAGAACAGAGTGGTAGCAAGAATATCAGGTGGAGTCTCCACTGCAGTTGGGAAGGGGCACTGGAAAGAAAAAGATCTAGTGTTCTAGGAGCACCAGGGATTCATGTAATAAAATGGTGATTGTGGTTTCAGATTAAACCAAACCATTTCCTGTATAGCAGAGAAAGACACTCTCTTGCCTTCACTCCCCCCTCCACCTCCGCCAGTTTCCTTTCCCTAAGGTGAGATTTTATAAATACATCCTTACAGGCAGTAAAAACAGGTAATTTATAAAACTTTTAAGCCTGATTGTAGTCTAGACATAATATATGTTACATATTCTTAAAATCAGGTTTGTGTTAGGGTCAAATGATATATGTAGTCTGTAGATTAGGTATTCAAGGAATATACAAAAGAAATATTCTAGGCAGTCACTATACTCATTAGACACTTGCCACTCAAAGTGTGGTCCATAGCTTTCTTCCTTAAATCTACACTCAACATAATTAACCAGCCAGGCTACATGAGACAACCCTATGATTATTTTAAGTTTACTTCATAACCTTGTGATTTCACCTGAAGCAAAGAGACCAGCTTTTCTCTGAACAGCCAAATCTCCCACACTCTCATTTTCGATAGTCAGGACAGGAGTTTGAGTTTCCCTTTCTAGAAGGATCTGTGGCTGGGACTTGCTGTTCCTGTACAGCTTTTAGAACCTCATGCATGCACTTCTATTTAAAAGTTGTCTGTCTACAAATGCTTAAGAGAGCAGACAATCTGGTTTCTCCTTCCCTTTTAGGTAGTTTATGTTGGAAAGAAATGTCTGTGTTTTTGTGACAAGAGGAGACGAGACGCTAAAAAAGAAGGCATGGTAGAAGATAGGCTGGGAACAAGGTCAGCATTCCACTCACAAACACCAACACGTCTGACTGGATGATAAAATATTGAAGTACAGGACTTCAGTGCTAGTTAAGCAATGAACACTACCCTGAGCCACATCTGGGTGCCCCCTCTGCATGACCCAGCATGCATGGTCTAGCAGGGATCTTCAGGACAGCTCAACTCAAGGGCCATCATATTCTATGTGTTCTCATTCTGTGTCCCACACTTGGTCAATCCCTGAGTAGTTTATGCTTAGGAGTCAAAAGACCTGGGTTTTATCTGGCTCCACCATTTGCACACCTAATCACAAGGTCTTAGTTTCTTCATCCGTGAAACATAAAGTAACTGTTAAATCAACTGTTTGTAAAGTGTTTTGTGTCATAATCGATAAAAGCTACTGTTGCTTTTGAATTTCTTGCCCACTTATGAATAATGGGCTCTCACATCTTCTTCTATCTGCTAAAGTGCTTTCTTTTCCCTTAGGCCTATGGAGTTGCCCAGAAAATTCAACTATAGTTTCATAGCTAGCATAGAGGACTGGGAGGTTGAGGCTTCTTTTTCAGGGATGGTTATGGTTGTGGTTGTGGTAGGGATGCTTAACTCTTTGTCACATGTCTCATTTTAGAAAAACATTTTCAAACATGCTGCACAATTTTCCCATATTCTCAAAGAAGATGTCAAGCATTATTCCATTTGCTATGTCTCAAGGCACACATCATGATCATCAAACATTGCCGTCTTTCCCTGGTGTTGGTCTCTGTTTGGATTGCCAGACAAAATGAGTATTTCCAAAGTATACTCAGTTAAAAATTACTCACTGTTTATGTGAAATTCAAATTTAACTGGGTTTCCTGCTAAATCGAGCTAGTCTAAGTCTCCTCTAGCCTCTCCCCACTTCTAATGTGTTTCCTCTAATCTGTTGTAGGGTGGGGTTGAAAACGGAGCTTGAAATTATAGCGTTTCCAAGACTATGAAGTTCTCAATTCTTTTCCATCTACACTCACTTCCCTATAGCTTCAAATATTATCTGTCTTCTCACCAAACCTATTTCCCCAACTCCTCTTC